AAGGCTTTAATGGAAGCCTTCCTGAGCCTCTGGCACCTGTTCAATCAGCTGTAAGTAAACCTTTAAAGTTAACCTTTGATTTAAACCTTAGATATCAGATGAACGATTCTGGAAAATCGTTTGGAAAGAAATGATTGATCCTCTTGAATCAAACAAAGAGCAGAAAGTTATTTTTTAATTCATGCTTCATGAAACAGTTTCTGGTTCATATGGTTCTATAGCTCACTGCATGAATCTTAAAGATATAGACCAATATAACCTGCATATAAAAGAAACTTTTTATTTTTATTTTAAGCCTCTAGCTTTTCCTTCTAGATGATTCCAGAAAAACAACAAATAATAAAATCAATATTCAGTTTATTTCTTTTTAGTTAAGCTGATGCTGACGCCTGCAGAGGAGAAAGTTCTATAGATTATACATCACATTGTTCCGTCTTACTATTCCAGGTTCAGAGAATCCGTGTTTCACAGCGTTCCCAGTGTTCCCAGCACACTCCTCCCGTTCCAGTCTCAAGATAAAAGTCAGTCTCACAAAACAAGTGCTGGAGATACATCACTGCTTAAAGATGAAGAATTTCTTACATTTTTCAAGGAAGAGTGGGCATCATACTTGGAGTGCAATGATTTACCAGGAACATCAGCATCTATACTATGGGAGGCAGGGAAAGCAGCGATGAGAGGTACAATTATTTCATTCTCATCTCATAAAAGAAGTTGGAACAAAAACAGATCCAGGAATTAGAGGAAATAATTAAGTCACTAAAAAGCTCGCTATAGATGAGGAAAAATTAGGTGAAATCGGTAAAATAAAACTGGAACTAAACGAATATATTGAAAAACAAAATACATTTTTAATACAAAGACTTTAAGATCAGCATTAATACAAAAAACTTTGAACATAGCAATAAGTCAGAAAGTTTCTTAGCTAATCAGCTTAAAATAAACAAAAAAAAAAGACTATATTTGCAGTTACAGACTCATTTGGTAATATATTACAGGATCTGAAGGGTATTAACAATGCCTTCCCAGGTTTCTATAAATCTTTATACACATCACAGTTAAATCCATCAGATAATGATATCAAGCAATTTCTGGATAAAATAACTCTTCCTAAATTATCAGAGAGTCAAAGAGTGACCCTGGACTCACTGCTGTCAACAGCTGAAGTTCAGGAACATCAGCTCTTCCCTGACAGCATGGTGGGAATTTCTTAAAATGACAAAGTCATCACTTATCCCGTGCAGTCATACACCCATCTGGAATAACCCTGACATTCTACAAAACAATAATGTGATAAACTTTCCGTACTGGAAGAATAAAGGTATTAACTATCTGGATCATTCATTTGAAGGTACGGAGTTTATCACATTTGCTAGATTAAATTTGCAATATGGCATTAACAAAAATAAATTCTTAGAATATGAGCAAATTAAAGCTATAATTAGAAATAAATTTAAGCATATTGATGGAGGTTTACAAATTCCAGCTAATATATCAGAGTTTCTAGAGTTNATTTCTGGATAAAATAACTCTTCCTAAATTATCAGAGAGTCAAAGAGTGACCCTGGACTCACTGCTGTCAACAGCTGAAGTTCAGGAACATCAGCTCTTCCCTGACAGCATGGTGGGAATTTCTTAAAATGACAAAGTCATCACTTATCCCGTGCAGTCATACACCCATCTGGAATAACCCTGACATTCTACAAAACAATAATGTGATAAACTTTCCGTACTGGAAGAATAAAGGTATTAACTATCTGGATCATTCATTTGAAGGTACGGAGTTTATCACATTTGCTAGATTAAATTTGCAATATGGCATTAACAAAAATAAATTCTTAGAATATGAGCAAATTAAAGCTATAATTAGAAATAAATTTAAGCATATTGATGGAGGTTTACAAATTCCAGCTAATATATCAGAGTTTCTAGAGTTAAACCCCCCAAACTACTGTCTAAATTATACAGGACACTGACTAAACTGGATGATACAATATCTCTTCCTATTACTAAATGGGAGGAGGATTTATCAGTCAGCTTTGAACAAAACATCTGGGCTCAGATATGTCTAAGAACTTTTGACATGACTAGAAACCCCAATTTACAACTAATAAAATACAAAATCCTCCCAGAGTGCACTATACAGGTCAAAGGTTATTCAAGATGGGTGTTAAACAATCTAACATCTGTCCACAGTGCACAGGCAATCAACTTGATAATTATATTCACGCGTTATGGTTATGCACGCCGGTTCAGAGGTTCTGGGTACAGGTATGTAAGGACTTATCACTGTGCCTGGGTTGGAAAATCTCACTTCCCCCTCCAGTTTGCTTGCTGGGTGACTTTGAGGGAAAAAAGATCAGTTTTCATGGCCTTCACTGGGTTATGTATCACAAATTAAACTATCATGAATTGGAAAAGTAAGGATAAACTCAGAATTTTATGGGCCTCACCACGGTCGGCTCCCGCCATCCCCTCTAATGTTTAGACATTGAGGGTTCTGGGTTGTCGAGTGGGGGGGGGGGTGCGCTGGCACCGCCTGTCTTCCGGAGGGGGGTGGACTGTGCTGGACACCCCCTTTTGGTACTCCCAGTTTTAATTACACCTGAGAGCAACATGCAACAACAATACATTGGGGCAGGCGCAGGGAGAATCGGGGTCGTCTCACACCCCTGTTCCCCGGCTGCCACCCGGAGTCTGGTCCTGGAGGAAGAGTGAGCCGCCTGGTCCGTGGTCTTGTTGGGGGGCGGCTGCGGGGCCTGGGGGGCCTGCCGGTGGCGGGGCTGTCACCTCTGCTCTCCCCAACGGAGGTTGGATGGTGGGGCAAGTAGTGCGGGGTGGGGGGCGGTTAGTGCGGTATGGGGGGCGGGGCCTGAAGCAGGAACAAGATGGGTTGGTGTGGATGTGTCACCGACCACCGGTCCCGGGATTATTGGATGTGAGTTTTATGTGTTAATGTGCGTCTGCGTTTTATTTTTTGCTCATCTCTACAGAGTCTGTGTGGTGGGAGTGGGGGCAGCAGGGTGGGAAGGCGTGATTGAGACTTTTTTTGAGGTTGGGGTCTGAACTGCTCCCTCTCCCAAGAAGATCTCAAGTCTCCGCCAAGTGCGGAGCCCATTCCCCCCCGTCCTGCTCTCCTTCCACTGCCGGTGCACTGGTGGAGCTTGAGGTTTGGGGGTGGATCCCCGGGTGGCTACTGGCTCATTCCTAGCGGCTTCTCCGCGGGGGCCTGGCCTGCTGGGGCCCGGCTGGGGCTCCCGCCGGGTGGTGGGGCGCCCCTGGGGCCTCAGATACTATAGGTGCTTGGTTCCAGGTATTTGGAGATTCACTTCCATACAGAAAGCCCATATTCTGATCTTCAGGTAACACAGAGTACATGTCAGATTAAATAATACTACTTATACTGTAGCAATAGTTTTTAATCTACTGTTTAAGCAACTGTTTTTAATCCACTATTTAATCCACTGTTGAATCCACTGTTTAATTCACAGTTTAATTCACAGTTTAATCTACTGTTCTATGCTGCTCAGTGGGGCAGTGGGTAGAAGAAGGTTCCGGGTTTGATCATTTCACCATGAATAACTTCCTTCGCTGCTATTGGACGCCTGTCTTTATACTGCAGGTTGGCTTCAGTTTGCTGCTGGATCCGTTTCTTTATTACTTTATCTTCTAAGATGCTTGTGTTCAGCCTTTAATTAGCATTTTTCCATTGAACATTTAGGTAAAAGGTTAAATATATATATATATATATATATATATATA